TAAACTTTCCTAAGTGTTCACTTTCGTAAGCTATAAAAGCCCTATAATGCTGGTATAATGCAAGTACATTATAGAGGCATTAGATACAGGCCAGTAAAAGGCAGTCGATCTCGTCAGACGCGATTAGTGAAATTGGCGATGTTTTTTTCGAGATTCCAGCACAATGAGGCGTGAGTTTCATGGCGTCAGACGAAATTAGCGGCTAGACTAATTGCAAGCGTCTCGACGCGACGCCGGAGCCGATGTTCAATTGCTTGAAGATCCCGCTTCTCTGTCTCTCTCTCTCTCTCTCTCTCTTGCCTACTTTTTTCGATTAACTTCTCTATTGCATCGGACGTTGCGCGCACAAAGGGGGTCAGACACGCGTTTAACTCGTTCTGGCCATCTTCTCTCTGGCCACGATCGACACCGTCCTTTTTTAGCTCTCTTTCTGTCTCCGGCGTAATTTGACGAGCTTCCAAACGATCATCGGGAATATCCCTTCATTATTGTTCCGAGGAGTTGTTCGCGTATTGTCGGCGTCTCCTTTGTTGTTTCGATCGTTTCAATTATTTTTTACAGCTCAACCGGCTATTAACGCTGGTAATTTCTAATGCAATTCAGACTAATTGTAAACGTCAGCTCATATTATTTTATGGACTTCACCTGTATTATTAACCCTTTGCACTCATTTGTCGAGTGTGATTCGACGCCAGTTTTCATCACAGGAACTCTTATGTTGAGTCATTATACGCGTTATTTTTAAATTGCCAAAAGAAAAAAGAAAAAGATAGTAATAATTGTAAAAATAGTTTGGAGTGCAAAGATATATTTATAGTACTTGCTTCCTGCTACAAGCAATCCTCTGTTCAGCAACCATTCTAATTAACCGATCGTGTCAAATATTGACAAATTAACTCGTTTTTCGAGGAAATGCGTTGTATCGTCGAAAGCCTCGACTGTCGTCACCAATTATCATAATACGTAACGATAATCCCATCCATACCTGCTTCTGACCACGAAAACAGTGGATCAAAGACGCGTGGAATTGCCAACTACCGGGTAAAACAATCGCGATTGCAAGATCGGTTCGACGACACGTTCACGGCGCGATAATTGCCGCGTTAAAAATGCGAAGGATCGAGTGGTCGGCGTTCGATTGCCGCGTGATTCGTGGGGGGGAAAGAAACTTATTGTTACAGAAGTTAGTCGAAACTTTGTGTCCGCGGCTGCACGGATATGGCTGGTGTACGAGTGGCGTTGTTCGCGACGTTGTTCGCGATCGTCGATTTCTCGATCGCCGAGTCCACACGGCAATCACTCCAATGCAAAAACATTGCCAGGGACGTGATCATCAACAGCTGCAAGGGGCCAAGGATGAAACGATCGCCGGAGAGCCTGGATCTCGCGAGATTGAACCAGCAGGCACCGACAGGTCATTTCATTTGATACTTCGAAAATTCGAGTAGCATCGACACGCTATCAAACTAAATCTTTAGTATCAATGAGATTTGTTTGATATTGCCGAGTCGGTTCAATCACTCGATATTTATCAATCAATCGTGGATGACCGAGAGCCATTCTCCACTGAGAAATTCATTCACTTTGCAGAGGCTGTCGAAGCACGGAATGACGGCGAACCACGTGCAACGCAAAGTAAACGTAATTTCTATCCTGGCCTTTACGGTATGCCACCAATGCCGCCGATGCTTGGCGGAAATTACGCCTCGAGCAACTACCACCAAACGGATCTCTCTCTGCCTGGACTCGGATTTATGGACACTGGTTACGCTAACACGATGGAAGAAAGCTACCGGCCGCCCATTCCATCCGGTTATCAGCCAGGATATATGATAAGATCCGTTGTAAGTCCTCGATGGCAGAGCTATGATTCGACGTAACTCGGGTTAAGAGAATCGAATTGCCACTGTAGGATCGAGAAATATCCAATTTGACCGAGGCGATTCTTAATTTGAAACGTAAATGTATAATGAAAAGAAGAAAGGGGGGGGGG